GAAGTCCATGCAAATACATCATTGTTAGCTCGGAGAAAAGCTATCAGTTCTGCTCTCTCCTCTGGGTTCAATCTAGTTCCGATCTGCGTCTTTCGGCTCGGATCTCTGTCATCAACGAGCACTTCTTCAACATCTTCGACCGGAGCAGCTCTGGTTTCATCTTCCGGTCGATTATCAACGATCTCTACACCCATTACCTGCTAATTATCAGGAATTCGCTGGGGAATGACCTCGGGTGTCTTATCTTTGCCCTTCGTTGGTTGTGTTACCGAGGTGATATAACAATGTCTTGCCACCTCCTGATTTTCTCACAGTGTTGCTATTCCCATAGGAGTGGGGAATTTCATGCAGATGTGAGATTGGGAAACCACAGCTCGGATTTCGGTCAATGTGGGTCGGCCGATAACAATATTAAAAGAAGAGGCCATCTTGACGACGAGAAACCGGACTGGAGGGCTACATAGGTCCGACCACTCCCAAAAGCCACATAGAGGGTAAGAACTCCTTCTACCGGAACAGGTTGGTTGTTGAAACCATAGATAGGACCATCATACTTTTGTAACAATGCTGGATCCAGTCCCAGACTCTCGAAACAGTGGAAATACATGATGTCTGATGCACTCCCGGTGTCAACAAGGACACGCTGTACTTCACAGTTATTAATCATGACAGAAGTGACCAGAGGATCATTGTGGGGTGTAACAACTGTGTCGAGGTCAGCAGATGTGAAAGTAATGAGTTGATTCTTCCATTCAGCATCGTTGATCTTCCGCTTCTGAGCTCGGTTCTGATGCTTGACCTCTCTGACATACAACTTTCGCTGTTTAGAGCTCAGTCCTCCGGCTTCAAGGCCTCCTGTAATCATATGTATGATTCTAGCCGGTGGTGGGAGCAGAGGTAGGGCTTGCTGATATCCCACACCTTGTCTATTTGGGGGGTTGCGGACTCCTTGAGGCTGCGGCCTCTGCTCTCTGACAAACCTCGGCTGTTCAGCTCTCTGCACATACTCATTCAACATTCCCTTCTAAGCTAAACTTTCCAGTTCGGACTTTAAGCGGTTGCACTGCTCTGTAGTATGGCCGTGATCTTGATGAAAATCACAATATTTGGTGTGGTCTCGACTAGCAGCAGCAGTTTTCATTGGGCCAGGACGCCTTAAATCCATTTTATTCTTGATCTGCATAAAGATTTGTGACCTCGGCAGATTAAAGGGAGTCCAATTAACTGGAGGTTTACCTGCAGGTTGTTGCAGGGGTGTTGAGTTCGGCCTTCCGGATCTCGGTGGGGAGGTCAACATCGGACCTCGGTTTTGCGCCATCCTCATCCTTTTCCGGCTCGGATTGTCATCTCTCCATTCTGGGTTCTGGTTCTTAGGAGGAGTCGGATTCTATGCCAAGGCATACTCCTCAGCGGTTATGAATTTGAGAGACCTATCATTTACCTCGCTGAAGGTGGTGGCAGCATGTTTAATTAAACTGTCTCTGAACCTGTCATGCTTAAGTCCGGAGATCACAGCGGCAATCCCCACAGCTTGATCAAAGGAATTAACCTCTAAAACTGCATCATTAAACCTGCTCATATAGTTCTTCAATGATTCTCCATCTCTCTGTTTAACCCGCATCAACTCAGAAGTAGTTTTCCTAATCAACCTTCTACTGGAAAACTTAGTGGCAAAGGCAAATTCCATTTCTGTATACGAGCTAGTTGACCTCGGAGGTAAACTGTAATACCAAGTTCGGGCATTACCTTGGAGAGTAGAGGGGAAGATCTTGCACATCAACGCGTCAGAGGCGTTCTGAGCTTGCATACAAGAGTAGAAAGCATGCAAGTGGTCATCGGGATCCTTCGTCCCGTCATAAGTCTCCAGCTGTGGTATTTTGAAGCCAGCAGGATAGGGCTCCAGAGTAATGTTGGTATTCAGAGGGTGAGGTATAGAGTCAGCAGCATGATGTGGGGGTGGTGCACCTCGGTGTTCAGCTACTAGCTTTTCCAAGCTATCGAGGCGGCGAGTAACATCATCAGGGATGGGTTGTGGAGCGGGTGCTATGTGGGATTGGCCCTGAGATTCACTAATAGCGGGAGCATGATGAACCGGTTGAGGATTCGGTTGTGGAGCTGGGGGTTGTTGAGCAGGATGCAGTAAATTGATGAGGGGATCACCAGGATTATTTCTGGCTAAAAGTTGAGCCAGTACCAACTGAAAAACACCGAACTGCTGTTGCATGGCAGCAAGCTGAGCTGCCACTACGTCTTAATTGGCAGTGGAGGCTGAATTGTGAGTTGAGGTATGAGGTTGATTTTCATCTTCTCCTTCTGCATGATCAACATGAGGGAACATGATTGGGACCTGAGGTGGAAGCTGAGGTGGAAGTTGAGTTGGGATTTGAGGTGGGATCAGAGGTGGAACGTTGTTAGGGGGTTGACCTTGCCCAAGAGGCAGAGATGAATTACCAGCTCGGACTGATCGAGTGTGAATCATGATGGAAGAGCAACTAGAAAGCTTTCAGTTCGTTTCCCACAGATGGCGCCAATGTAATTGCAACGAACCAGAAGTCCTTCTTCAGTCCGCAACTGCACTTCGGAATGACCTGCAAAGCCCCGAGGTGGACCTCGGGGTAGACACTTCGATGCTTAAGTCAGCAATAATCGGGGTTACCTTTAGAGCGGAGATAAAAGGAGCTTAAGGTAGGTTTCAATTACCTTTTGACGTGGCCCGGAGGGGGTATTTATAGGATTCAATGAGG